AAAGGTTACAGTGATTACAACAGTTCTAGCATAAGGTTCTCGTGGCCTATTTGCTGTGACCTGCTAGCAACCCGTGTGGGGTTCTTGGCAGCAGTGGTGAGTTATTCCCTTCTTTCTTTCAGCTATATATCACAATGTTGTACATATTGTTGTGCTTGTTGCACGAACCAGGGGGTAAAGGATACAACAATTTAGCCTAAATAGCTAAATTCATTCATTTAAATGTCGGTGACAGCGGACCTCTCCGTAGTGTAATTAGGAGAGCTAATGGATGGAGGAACGGTAGATCCATCAGTGCTAATGATGATTACTGTTTAGGAAAGTGAATACACTTCATGTTCATAAACATGCAGCCAAGGCCACCACAAAATCAGAACCAGCCATGACATCTAAAAATATAACAGAGCTGGCGCTTACCACACGGGGTGACACCCAGAGAGGCACACTGAGCGGACGCAGCTGGGGCTTCTGGGCGGGTAACATACATCATCTCATCTGTCCTTTTTAACTCCCATCCATTCATTTATCCATGTGGCAGGGAGGAGGCAAGGGAAGAAATCACTGACAAGGAACCACTTCTGAACCCATCAGTCCTGATTGGTCGGTGGTTTATGCCACTTTATGGGTTGGCACACTCCGTGCCCTTTACCTCCTGCAATATTTTTTTTTCATGGAACATGAGTGCGAGTGATGATGGCTTAAAAAAGCTTTCTCGTTTGTCCATGCCTCATGGTTGGAGATTTTGGGTTCACGATGATTTTTATCGACTCAACCAGAAACAAAATCGTTTGGGTGGGTCTGTGATTATCGGGGTTAACGTTTCTAGCTGAGAACAATAAATTTGCCGCACCAGTTTATTACCCAGTTGTTCTTCCTTGTCTTTATTACCAATCTGGCGTTTGGGTCGTTACAACTGGATGAGGCTGAGGAAAGAAGCGACATGTTGTGCTAGTTTTGCTTGATGAATGTCACATGCAGCAGAGGAGTCAGTATGGCAGGGGGAGTAGACGGAAACCAAAGGGAGGGAGGGAGAGAGCGAGACAGAGAGAGAGAGAGAGACAGCATTTAATTGTAAAGATATGTCCCCTCCAGGCTCGAAAGACATAAGTCTTGTCTTGGGCCCCATTGTACACACATTAATGATGTTTTCCTGTAGCCTCAACGACACTTTGTTAAGTGAAACTCATTAACACGTGAGGTCTCCAGTTGCAGTCTTTGACGGCTGACAACAAGCTCTTTTCTCTTGCCAAGCTATTCCTGACCTCACCGTTCCATCCCAGAGTATGTTGTTACGGCCTCACCTGTGTTACTCTGAGATGTTTTGACACGTTGTAGGTGACATGTTTCCGTGCAATAGCAATATTATACAGCGACAGCCATAGGGGGAAAAAAGAAATGCCAGAAATAAGTGTTAGGAATGTGTTCTGTGTCTAGTGGAATGCTGGAAGAAAGCAATATCACGCAAAAAGAGATTTTGTTGTGAGGGTTTCCGACAAATAACCAAGCCTATAAACAGACTGAAGAAATGAAACTAAATGTTCAAGGCTTACAGTGTGTTTTCTGTATTAGTGCTATTCCTTTTGCCTCAGATTTTATTTCTTTTGTAGAACCACATCAAGCAGACCTTTTTAGAGGGAGGACGGATTTTTTCCATGGGAAAGCCTCAGGCAATATAACTGTTATATTGTGCGACCAGTGGTTTGTCGCCTTCTCTTCGGCTTCGCAAGTCGGGCTAATGTTCTCCTTTGACACTAGCCGATTGCTTTCTCTCGGCGCCTGAAGAAAGAGAGCGAGCTAATACATTTGAATCCCTAAAGTGAAGGTCGTTGAGAATTACATCCACCCGCCACAATTGCCCTTTTTTTTCTTTTTCGCTTCTCCATTTCCTCCTGTATTGGCAAACCATTTAGACTATTAGCAATGTGGCAGGCTGCTGACTCTGTTGTGTAATCATCTCTGTGTGTATGTTGTGGTTTGCCGACAGGCCCACCCAGACCCAAAGCTACCTAGAAGTTATAACAGGGTAACTAAAGTACCGTATTGTCACGAGAAACTGAATGAACCAGTAGCAGTAAGAAAATTTCATTGAAATAACTTGACAAACCAAAAACAGTGTCATAGTTAAAGTTGAGTTTCCTTCTTTTTTTCTTTTTCACAGTTGTTCACTTTGCATCTTAGTCTTGGAACTATGCACCATGTCCCCACAGGTGTTTAGAGGGGAAAAATTAGGGCTACATTTAACACAACTGGTAACAGGAGAGCCTTTCATAGGCGTCACACTGCCCCATCAGGCGCTCCTCTTAATGTCTTCCAGATGATAAGGGTTTGGATAAAGTATGTGGGCCCACTGGTGCAGAACCAGTAGAGCTCGGGCTGACGCACCAGTCATTTAGACACAAATGGAGACATTTTAGAGGTTCTCTCTTCCATAGAGCACAGCAAAGACCCCCAGGGTGTATTCTCTCCTCCATCTGCAGCCCGTCTCCCACTGTGGGTAAAAACGCATTAAAACTGCTTTTCTGTGGAGTTGCGACGACTTGACACAGAGGCGGCATCAAGACGATTTCTTTCTATTTTCTATGATGAACGTGACGTCTCGGAGGAAAGTATAGTTAAATGGACACAGCAATTCACCGGACGCTTTTTTTTTTCTGCCGTGCTCGTACTCATACGTTTCTGCACCTAGTATATTTTTTCTGCCGTGCTCATACTCATACGTTTCTGCACCTAGTATATCATGCATATGTAAAGGCACACTTCAGTCGTGCTGCAGCCTGCTCTTCTTTCCTTCAACGTCTCAGTGATGCATCTCGGCATCAATTCTAAGGTGTCTGCCAGCACTCAGCTCCTGGCAGTTGCCGGGGAGGAGTAAAATAGCTGGAGAGACCGAAACTCTGAGGTGAATTACAAGTCTGCTGATAGAGCAAAGCAGACCTGCAAAAAGATTGATGCTATCTTTTGTGAGCTGTGAACCAGAGAGGGGAGAGGAGACAAGGAGTCCATAGCAGGAGGAAAGGAGATGGGAATAGACAGGAGTGAAGAAAAGGAGAGGGAGGAGGAGAGTTGGTGAGGTTATGTGGTCGTCTAAGTCTGTTTTTAAACCTTAACGAAACAGAAATGGATTCATTCATAATGAACACAACTCTTACCTGACAGGGATTTCAGATAGTGTGTACTGACTGAACTGCACAGTAGCAGTAAGTAGACATTCCTTGCTTTAGGAGAACTCTCACCTAATTGAAAAACAATTTCCAGACACTGTCAGAACAATAATAAAAAAAACCATATTTTTTCCCCTTGTTTTTCACAGACCAACAGCTGATAAAGGAACTAAAACAAAGTGGTACTTGTAAAAAGCCAAGCTTCACTGCAAGGCCAAGTACAGATAAGCCAAACAACTCAAGCAAGGGGTTTTACAGAAACAGAAGCAGAGATTATTTTACCTGAGTGGATAAAGCACAATATTAATCTTGTAATGTGACATGAAATCCACAGAGCAGAGTTTGATCCTGGAAAGCAGGGCTTTTCGGCCGTTGTTAAAAACAGTTCCAGGTACAACCCAGTCCTTTTCTGACAACCAATTACTAACTGTAATTTCTGAATGTTTGGAGGCTAAAGGAGACCATTTTCATAGTAAAAATGTCCTACCTGTTGATACATGTACCCCCACCTGTGGGACCAAGCCCACCCTGAGCTAACATTCACAGTTTACAAGGCCTTTTTTGTGCAGAACCCCATGAATTAGGTGAGTTCACAATCACTAGACGGGTCTGATGTTTTGACAGTAATTTGGGAATCAAGGTAAAACTGCACAAAAAGGCACCCTTCACCCCAAGGGCACATACTTTGAAGGGAACAGAGGGAGCTCCTGTGTGATTAACGTTAGTGCTCATCTGTTGCACATTATTTTTTTTACATAAATTAAAATAAACTAATATATTCGAATGGCACTAATTTTGTAGTCTCGTTTCAGGCAAAGACAGGGTTTTTAAAAAATGCCCCATAAGTAGCATAGCGTAACGTAGCGTAGCATAACAGCGGTCAGAACAGACGTTAAGGGCAATTTGGAACAGTGGAAACCTGAGCCTAAGCCTGCATTTGGAAGTGAGCTTGCTTCATCACCCACAGTCAAAACACAGCACGGAAAAGTCATCTGAATTATCGCGCAATAACACACACCACGATACACGCACACACACACACACACATACACACCTGCAGTCAGTGAAGCCAAACGAACTGGTGCTGTTAATATTTTGTCTTGGAAACTGCCTGTAATCATGAAGGGGGCTGCTCGGACCACCCTCACACCATGTCTTTTACCATCTCAAAGTTGCCATGACACATTCCATATGTGAGTGAGTGTTTGTGCTCCAGTCCCCGCAGCGAGCTGTGATTTTCTCCCGCCTGAAAACCCTGCGACATCCCAATTAAGTGGCTGCTCCCTGGAATAGCCGTCGGTCTGAAATCTCATTTGAGTGTGTGTCAGTGGGTGGGTGTGTTTAATACTTTTACCATCTGTACACCAGCCTCCGTAGCCAAAGGCCAGAAGAGTAATCATGTTCAGTTGTCATCCTTTCTTAAAGAACAGTCGCAGACATGTTGTCAGTAAACGACAAGTTCCGTAGTGGTATTTATTATGTAAACTGGACCTTGACATTGGGGGGAGCACTGTGTGTGTTTGGACGTGTGTGTGTGTGTGTGTGGGGTTATTGAGGTCAACATAATGAAATCAAATCTTCCCACCTGTTTTTCGAGTTCTAACCCGAGATCTCATTAGTACGCAGTGTTTTATTTCCACCACATTAACTGCACAATATGCTGCGTTGCTGTGTGTTGGCGTGTTCTTTCGGCGACAAGTGTATGTGTGTATATCAATTATAACCGCAGCACGAGCAACATGGTGGTTATTTTCTAAATGAACCCTTATGTAATTTAAGGAAAACAAGCAGACTAAGTACCACACAAGAGTAGGCTAACACTGGCACTTTTCTCTGCAGATATGATTATGTGGAGGTCCGAGATGGAGTGGACGAGAGCGGTCAGCTCGTGGGAAAGTACTGCGGGAAGATCGCCCCATCTCCGGTGGTCTCGTCAGGAAACCAGCTCTTCATCAAGTTTGTGACGGACTATGAGACCCACGGAGCAGGGTTCTCCATCCGATATGAGATCTTCAAGACAGGTGGGTGAACATGAACCGCTGTATATTTAGTATGAAAAATGGCACCGGGGGAAAGCCTGACTTATTTCCGGGTGAAGGTTGTGGCCCGTTTTTAATTAAATCAAACTCAGCGACTTTATGTGTTTGCGATCATTTATTTAAGTGGATTCCAGAGCACCCACAAAACAGGATGCAGCAGTAAAACTCTGATGATGGCTCTAATTTCATGGTTTGTTTGTGAGTTAGTCGAAGCGCCGGAGCATCAAGTATGCACTGGCAATATGGCAGGCAGTATGCTCATTTGAGAACCAATGAATCGTGCACACATATGTTCCATAATTGTTGCAGTTTGCAGCTCACGTGAATTATTGCACAATAAGCACAGGCATAATTCGAGTTGATTCAACAAATGTTGGTCTCTCTGTTTGGTTTGTTGTCAAGTGGCAAGCCAGGACCGGCACAGGAAAGCATGTCAACCTGCCATTAAAACTAATGGCTCACTGCTCGCTGCTCTTCTGTTTTCCAAGTTCTCATTGGTATCGACTTTCCTCGTAGGAAAGTTTTGCAAATCTCTCTCCGTGGTGATTACACCTATGGGCGTTTGACATGAAGCTCTTATCAGAATGATTTGGGAACGAGCATTAACGCTGCCTTAAATGTTTCCTCAGACATGAATAGAACATTCTTTTTATAATAGCTCTTTCCCCCACGAGGTATATCTTACGTGCAATGTTTCGCAACATTAATCTCATCCCTTTTTTTTTCGTGCCTCTTTAAAGGTGTTTGTTTCTGATGTTTGTTGCTCTGTCCCTCCGTGCTAATTTTACCACCAGATATGCTAAGAATTTCTACATTAAAAATGCTGCTAGTGGTCTGTTTTCCAAATTATCAGAAATCAAATAAATCTCCCCTTTCCTTATTTATGCTACCTTTAAAATAAGCTCTGCGGCCGATTCATCCTGCTATTTGAGAATCATGATGTAGCATTTCCTCGGGACAAGTCTATCTTATCGAAGCAGACAAAGTGGGAGTGTGGCCCCATTGTTTGGCTGCCTGCTTTATTTGGACTAAATAAAGCATGGGGAGGACAGCCCATATCTGGAGAGTGACTAGGAGTCAGACAGGTGCCACAGACTCCACTTTCATTAATTAACCTCAGCAGCACACTGTGGGGCGGCCTTCTGACCCCGGAGACAAGATGAATGGCCGTGCAGTGTCCCTCCTTCCTTTTAATCTGGGCCAGTGTGTGTGTGTGTGTTTGAGCTATGCCTGCGTTTGTGTGTCCGCGCTTGTGCGTGTCACAATCACGGCAGGACAGCTGGTGGAGTGTGGGTCCATTTACTCGATCAAAGCAACACTCCACCCGAACATACGCAGGCTCATCAACGCTGCCTTGTTCCTCCTGCCGCCACGTTTTCTTCCTCATTTCAGATCAGACGCCTTGATTATTAACAAGGCCTGTTTTGGGACCAGGAATGATAAGAGATGGGATTCTGGACACGTCCGTACGTCGCCAGATATAAGAATGTAAATATGGATAGTTGATGAAAAGACTGGACTAGAAACTACGATAAGAATCAGGGTCTGAGCTGACAGAATGTACAGAGAGGCAGATGGATGGACAAGAGAATACAGGAGATTACACTCCTGAGTGCCCCCTCCCCCCCTTCCTGCTTTTGTTTCTTGATTCATAATATACTCAGATGTTGTGCCAGAAGCAGGGCTCAAATATCAATTAACAGCTCTGTTTGTGAGAGGGAGAGGGAGCGGGGGAGGGAGGGTTAGAGAGAGAGCAAGGGAGGGAGGGTACTTTCCAGGCAGAACAAGAGATACAAAGCTAGTTTATTAGCACAGCTTATCAACAAGCAGCATATTAGTTGGGAAAACATTGCGTTGGCTAACACATGTAATGTTAATGATGCTACACAGATGGTCTGATAATGGAAGGAGGAATGGGGGAGGGGCTTTGCATTTTTACATTCCAATGAGGAGCAATGCAAAGTTAAGAAAACAGAGGGGGGGGGGGGTTGGAGCTGGATTTAAACTGAAGATGAACCTGAAGGACCAAGACTGTTTTCCATCCACCGTTTACATGCAACACAGTTGTGGAATGTGGAAACGAAAACCAACATATGCAGAGGCTCATATCAGGGTTCATACGCCAGTTTTTACATGTGAGTGTTTACCCACTTAAGCTGTGGAGTGTGAGCGCAGGCTTTCATGCGCTTGAACACGCCGGCGTTCGCAGCCTCGGCTTTGATCAGCAACCGGCTGCAGAGTGTCTAATTAGAAGGGAACAGGTTGTTTTGCGGCTCTCCACGGCCACTTCCACATTATTCTCTAACCCTTCTCTGCTCTTCAATCCTATCCAACCATCTTAATTAGCATGGGCTATTTATTTTATAGCCTGCAAATTGGCAGCCACGCTCCACTGGCTGAAGTCTGGCAAAAGATGCTAAGGAGTGTGATGGGAACAGATAGGAAGTTGTCAGAGTGAGGAGTGTTATGTAGATTTTGTGTACAGCCTGTAGACGGTGTGTGTGTGCTTGTGTGTGTGTGTTTTTAAGCCTTTCATAAAATTATGAAAAGAAATGTTCAATTGTAAGAATAAGCGTAACAAAAGCCCACGAGTGTTTTTGGAAACCAAATCCATCTGTTCTAAGAATCAGCGTTCACACACGACATATGGTTCTTTTTAACAGTGCTGCAGCTTTTTCATCAGAGCCACATCAATGCTGGCCGAGGACCCATGTGGGCGCCGAGGCACAGATAGTGCCATTTACGCCTAGAGGAGCTGCTCAGCATCCTCTCACTGTTACTCAGCAGAATGACTGACTGCTGAAAGGAGCCCCCCACCCATGTTTTCCCTTTTTACGCTTTAAAAAAAAACCCACCACCATTCACACTGAAGGCCTGTTTATTGTGTTGTGATGCACGCACATTCTACTATGATCACACACCTGTGAAAACAGTTTTAAGGTGTGTGTGTGTAGGGGGGGTCTGACAGAGGGTACATTTTGCCTTCACGGATGGCGCACCCTTCTGACAGAGGGTTCATTTTGCCTTCACGGATGGCGCACCCTGACGACATAGGTCACATATGGTACGGAGACGCGCTGTCATCGCACACACACACGGCCCTCATGGAAATCCAACACAGCTAATTTCTTTAAGGGGGACTACAGGGAGACCCACTTCCCTTCAGTCTGACTCTCCCTCTCTCCCCCCCCCCAGCCCCCCCGCTCCCAACGGCACCGTGTCATCCCCCACTGATGACGTTCCAGACACAGTCAACACACTAAATTCCATGTCAGGAGTGCAGTGCCCCAGGGTGTGTGCGGGGGTAAATGTAAACCTGTGATTTCATCTGTTTGAATAGCTGACAGTCCACGGCCTTTATCAGGGTTAATGTTTGAGGTAGCGTTCAAAGAGTTAATTTTCCAAGGGCAGTTAATGTTGCTGGGGGCAGGGGGCGTAGTAAAGGTGGTGAAGGCCCAGAATGGAAGGGTGGTTTAACTGCTAATGATTAGCCAGAGAGAAACAGTGGCCTAAAAACAACACCTTCAGTCTGTGCCGCTCTGTCATGGAGGGGCAATTGGATGAAAATGAGGGGCAAGTCTTAGAAGGCGGAGAAAAACACTGACGAAGTGTCAGACTTAATGTTGTTGTTCTTATGAGTAGTGTTGAGTCCCTGATCATGAGGAACCTTAAAAACCCCTATTAATTCAGGAGGAATTCTAAATGTGAGAGAACCAAATCAGATCGCTGTTAAATATCATTTTACCGGCCGTTCCGTGGCCTCTTAAAATATTTGTTTACGTCTTCCTCCAGTGGAGAAGCGTCTTAACATAAAAGAATCCATTACCGCCGGCCGTAAACGTAGCAATGCCTCGTTGGAGGTTGACAGTAAATGCAGCAGCGTCCAAGGTTGCTTCTTTTTCTCTGGTTTTACCTCCCGTCATAAATTCAGCTGTTTGTTTAAAACCAACAGATGGGTCAGTGGGTGCACTGCGGCCGAGCCAATGTTGGTATTTTTTAATTTGTGGATAAATGAATCAATCTCTTCATTTTTTTTTTTTCAAAAACCGATCTCTCGTGTTTTCAGTTTCTCTTAACTGCCGTCGTCTTGTAGTGACAACAAAGCATGCTGGGTGTACCGTCAGGAGCTCGGTACGAAAGCCCTCCCGTCTTGAGAGACTCCAGATAAAAGAGATGATTATCTGGGAAAGAGAGCAGCACTTTGTTCTCTCCTTCCTCTGTGTTCGGCCATGATACCTTGACTGTGTCCTTTGTATTTTTTTTTTATTTTCAGAGAGAGACGGTTGTGTTAATACAGACATTAAATTTGCTCAAACTGAAATCAACCCTTGGCTCCAGACTGGCTTTGAATCGGACTTAATCCCTGTTTATGCAACTAAATATCATCTTCGCAGATTGTAAACATTTGCTCTTTGTTTTATGGCAGGTAGAGACAGGAGACACTGTGTGAATCAGCGGCCACAGCATTGCATATAAACAAGGCGTGCGATTTTCGCGGCTAACATTGTAAACATATCCAGTCTTTGAAGTGTTACACAAAACAGTGACTAATTGCACGACACCGCAGTATGAAGTGTTTTTTAGAGCATTCTGATGATGGATTTGTTGATAGCAGATTTGAAACACAAACACGCACGGATACAGCTTGAAGAGTTTTCTCAGTGTCTTACTGTTTTTTGTCAATTGTAGGATTAGATCTCGCTTATCCAAGATCTAAATAAAATCTCTCGCTATGTTGTGAGCGTGGGAACAGTTGTTGAGAGTCACTGTGTGGAGGTCTGATACATCCGTCCACTTCTTTAACTTCCTCAACTTAAAAAATAACACCTTTTGTATTTTGTATTAAGTATTGTGCTTCTTTGTGTGCCAGTCGTGTGCTTGGAATTTAACAGCTGACAATTTCCTCAGACCAAATTAGTTTCTGACTACTGCCTCGCTGAGATAAGGGTCACGATGGAGGCTGACAAAACAGAAAAAGTCGCGCTCCAAGCCAATGTCCACAGGAAACTTAACACACCAAACCAAAGTGCAGTCAAATACTGCAGCTATTGAAAAACACTTAAAACCCTGGGCACCTATTTTTAAGGAAATAGCTCACAAATCTAGCCCTCCTTACAGAAAAAAACTGTCTGACATTTCTCAAAAAAATAAGGCAAAATGGCAGCATTTGTCCACCCTCTCGGCCCGCAGACTGCTCCCTTTCTTTTCTTTTTTTTTTTTTACTAAATCTCTGTTTCCCGGCCACAGGAGAAGCTGTGAAATTAATGGTGCCAACTGTTCTCAAAAAGCCACACTTTAGCTGCAGCAGTAAATGTCATCCCTCCCCTTAGAGTCAAAAACCCCGCTTGCCATGGCTTTCAACTTGGGAAGAAAGAAAATCAAATGTCTCTTCCCTTTTTTTCTCATTCCACTAGTGGACAGGCTGGAGTAGAGCTGATGGTTCTGAATTAGAGGCCCAGGAAAAAACATGAATGACGGAGGGATAGCTGTTCACTGCATTTAACTGACATGATGTGAAAATTTATATATATAAATATATTCAAAAATATATGTACATATACACACATATATAAATATATATTTGCATATATGTTTATATGTGTCTTTATATATTTAAATAGATATTTATTTATATATATATATATATTTATATATATTTATATATATGACTGACTTTTCAGTGTACTACTCCGCACTGTAGTACCCTTCAATGTGTCTTTCCCAGCAGCTGTTGCCATCAGTTATTTTTATTAATCACGCGTCAGTCATTCCGGAGTCGTAATCCGGTTTTCATGGTAGCCTGAAAAGTGGTTAACACTGGAAATGTGTTAACGCTCGTCATCAGCAGAAAGGCAGCTCTCTGGGGAGCTGTGAATAAACATTTTGACTTTCCCCCGTGCAAAGCCACGTACTTAAGTGAACGTGTGTGTTGATGTATGCACAGCCATTGCTCTCATCTACCATCAGCAACACTGTAATTTTGCCTGAGCACCTCTTGTGTGTTTAGCGTGAGAAAATATGGAGGGTGGCGTCGTTAATCAAACTATTCATTCATTCGCAGTCGCTGCGGTTGCACGGATTCAACACACGCACACGCGAAAAAAGTGACGAAAAAGCACTCACACATCCATTGTTCCGGTGCAAAGTTTTTACGACGGTGCAGACGCAGATGTTAACTTAAGTTAAAAAGAAGAATGAACATGAACAATGTCTTTCATCTGTCGGTCATAAATTAACAGACCAGTTGGAAGGAGCTTCTAAATGCCTGCTAACAAAATCACTTAAACCAATCATCCCTGCCCTGTCTTTGTCTCTGCTTCGTTTTATAATCTCAATCCCTCTCTCGTTTCCCTTCCTCAGGTCCTGAATGCTCCAGGAACTTTACCTCCAACAGTGGAGTCATAAAATCTCCTGGTTTCCCAGAGAAGTATCCAAACAACCTGGACTGCACTTTCATGATCTTCGCTCCAAAGATGTCTGAGATCATATTAGAGTTCGAGAGCTTCGAGCTGGAACCAGACCCGTCACCCCCTACTGGCGTATTCTGCCGCTATGACAGAATTGAGATTTGGGATGGTTTTCCTGGAGGTAAGCAGCAGCTGCAGCAGTGGTCTGTGAATTCTGTGCTCTGTATTACCTGTCATGTATCTAAGAATAGAGACTATAGAAAAAAAGAAAGTTAGTAGGAAAGTCTCCCCTCAGTTATTTGAATACACTTTTGCATAGGTGCCACAATCTCCCAGTCTGGTATGGCTCATTAACCAACTTCACTCCACCAGTTTTACTGCACGGTAGAAACTGCTATCCTATAATGAGAGATAGGGGGAGGGAGGGAGGGAGGAGGGGGTGTTCTGCCTCTATTGTCACTGCCATTCCAGAGGGTGGGAATGAACAGCTTTACATTATATGATGGCGTTTATTCAGGGGAGTCTTGGCGCGACTCCAAGGGTCTGTCGTCGTGCGTGTAATATGTCATCATTGCTCTCCGTCGGACAGTTCCTGATTATAAATGCCGCCCACCCTTCTTTCATATGTCACAGGCTGCATTGTGTCGAAGAATCCGTCAATGTCTGTAAATTCTGGAATTTGTGATCGAGTGCATATTCAAGTCATTACTCCCAGGAATTCTTCTGCATTAGGAGAACAATTGAAACCATGCAGAAAATTACTCCAAAGGGAATTTTCTCTTTGTAAGAAATGTTCATTAAATCAACTTTAGAACCAGTTTAGCCACAATTTGTTAATGTTAATGGCTTAAAAAAAAGAAGAAATGAGCAGGAGAACAGGATAAATGAAGAGGGAAAAGTGTGTGTGCCGTTGCACAAGATAAGGTTTTTGAACTTTGTAAGTCAAATCGCCTCTTGATGTCTTTGGGTTGTTTTTTTTTCCTTTGGCTATTCCAGTGCAGAGGAGATGAAAGCTTTTCTCACCTGTCAGCAGCTGAAAATGGAGAGGATTTTATCTGGTGGTGTTCCACTCGGTGCTTATCACTGATCTCTGCTCTGAATTTCAAGTGATGAAGTTGAAGTGTAAATCAGTGTGCTTTTTTTCCAAGTAAGCTTACTTAAAGTTTACTTTTCTCTGAGCTTACTTTACATGGACAAAGTTCTAAGGCAATTTTAAAAAAACAATCTTCATATTAAATGACTCTATGAGCTGTATCTCCAAATATCAACTTGTTTTTCAGTTCATTTGCAAGAAGGAATTTCATTTTTTGTAGGGTTCTGATGAATATTTGTCACACCAGATCAAACAAAAATAAACAAAGCTAGTTCAAAACCTGATAGAAAAACTTCAGTTTTAACAACTGTCCATGAAACATGGTTAAAAATATAAAAAGGTTTGTTTTGTTTTCAAAATTGTTGTTTTTCAAGGTTAAAAACCTTGATCAAATAAAGCTAAGCTAATTTCAGCACCTCATTCAGACGCCTTTTTAAACTAGCACATCTTTCTTTGAGAGTTTTCTCTTCACTTACCAACTGTTTAAGTAAATAAGTAAAAGATCCGGAGTGACGCCTCAAGTCTGACATCATCACCTTGAAATGAAAAACAACCAAAAATGACCTTTAAATCAAAAATGAATGAATTTTGCAGCACAGAAACAAGTGGAAAACTCAGATCCGTCTCCTTTACCCAACACTGAGTCTATTCAGGGCCTGACATATGACACTGACCACTTTGCACTGACATGGCATTACACTCTTCAAACTTTGTGACACACACACACACACAGCCTCGAAATAAAAATAAGTCATGGTTGGAAAATGGTACGCGGCCTTTGCCAGGTGGTTCCTGCGGTGCCCGTTGGATCGATAGTGCATTATCACAGAAGGCTGGAGTCAGCGGCTCGTTGTCAGGGTGTGTGCGGAGCTGAGTGATGCCCGGGCGAATGCATCCCTCCATGACGCAGCATGGGGGACTCGCACCTCCCCTCTACCACTACCACTTAAAACACACCCTGCTGGTTGGGCGACACAAAGAATGGAGCTACGCTCCAACATAACTTTTTTTTTCTTTGAGTTCATAGCAGAGTTCTTTCAACATTTGACAGAACCTCAGAGGTGCACAGACAGTTAGAACCTGGGTTTGTACAAGTGTTAATGTTACCCATCAACTGTTCTAGAGGAGCTGGGCTGAACTGTCATTGGCTGCTGATCACAGAATCACCAATGCTGCTCCCAGCTCAACAGTGTGAACACAAATATGCAGGGATCACAGCACACATCACAGAAGCAGCACAAGGTCGCTGTGCTCTCCTGCTCCCCCTTGTTAGCACCTTACTTTTTTCCCAGCGTCTACCCACCTCTTAGTTTGTCTCGTGTTTGTTTTGTTGTCTTTCTCCCCGTTCTCCTCTGCTCAGTCTAACATGTCCCTTAATGCAGTTATTTCCTCACACTGTCTTAAAAACATTCGCCTGTTTCTCCTGGTCATTGGAAACTCGGTCAGCCGTGCCCCAGTCTGGCTTCATCCTGCACAGGAAAGACAAAAATGTGAAATTGGGTAAGGGAAGACGGAACGTCTGAGGTATTTACGGCCGTTAAACAGGCAGAGAGCATGACCTGTCCACACCGCAGGACCCTCTCCTACTTTTCCCTTTTAGTGTTTGTCCAACAAGCAGGCATGGAATGTTAGGAGTCGCTTCTCACACATTGAGGTCAAGTAAAAAAAAAAAGAAAAAAGCAAACTGTGCCATACCTCACTGACACACTAGTTTTCACAACTCTCCGGGAGGGGCTGGTCGTAAAAATCCCATGTGTGACATGGTCGTGGCTAACAAACAAATATTGGCCAGACGTTGGTTCGAAATGTGTTACGATTGTTTATACATATGCTCTCTGTTGTCTCTACAGTCGGTCCCTACGTTGGAAGGTACTGTGGACAGAACACGCCTGGAAGGATCATCTCTTACACCGGCATCTTGGCACTGACAATCAACACCGACAGCGCCATCGCTAAGGAGGGCTTTTCGGCAAACTTCACTGTCATGGAAAGGATAGTTCCGGAAGGTGAGCAAACGCAAACCACGGAAAGTTCAAGAACATTTAAAATTAGATTTGAGTCCTGTACGATTTGAAAGAAGCGGTTGAAGCAGATCCAATATAACGGGGAGATCTCTGAAAAAATTAGGACTCATAAATAAACACCTTTTCCTATTGTTGCATGTGAGAAACGTTGTAAACTCCCTCTCCTGTGGTTTATGAGTGTGAACTTTACACAGTGTGGACCCACAGAGCCTCCAAAAGTCAGCCTACTCAGTCACATCACACACAGACACACAGCGCTGACACACAACCCCCCCAAGGGTTTTAACTTACATGCTGCTTTGTCGTCACAGAGCTTGACCTCCAACCCCATTTTGCGAAATGCTCCAACCAAACATTTCATTAAGGAAGAAGAGCAGCAGTAGGAGCCATAAATCTGTCCAAAGACAAGACCACCCCAGACATACACACACGCACACACACAAACAATGACAGCCTTTGAGCAGTGATGTAGACGGATGCCATTCAAGCAAATCAACGAATCATCTCCACAGTAAAGACGATGACGACCGATGATGTCACTGCTTGCCCTGAGCTGAGCTGCTTTAATCACACATCCAGGATCAGGTTACGCTAATTGACTTTTCCCATTTATCACTGAGAGGCATTGTGAAATATCTGACCCCTGATCAGTAAACATCTTGATTTGCTTGGGTTGCTTGTGCTTACATCACCGACTGAGAAGTCCCCAAGCCCAAAAAAGAAAAAAAAATCCAAACTTTCACTCCCCCCACTTGACTCATTCATAATCCCCTTGTGTATATTACGCTGGGTTTTCTGCCTACTAAGATGAAGGATACACTCTGGCTGAAAGCTCCGGTTGAGAGATGATAAGCTGATGAAAAGAAGCCTTTTGCTGTTACCGACTTCTGCTGGCAGTCATTCCCCCGCAGTCACCCTCCTCACCCACCCAGCATTCTTCACTTTACTCTTGTCTTCTCAGCTATCAATCCCGCTTTAGCCTGCACACCACATGATCGGATGCCGTCCTCTGGCTGTAAACAAGCACCTAATTGTGTTTCTGTTCCTCATAACCTGGTGATGTAGATTATGGGCCCTGGGTAGAAAAGTTGAGATGAGAACAGAAAGCCAAGAAAAGGGCGGCGCGGCGCGAGACAGTGTGTGTATATGTGTGTATGTGTACATGTCTATATGGGTGCAAGCTAGCACTGACACTGTAAAGGAAAAACACACACTCTGACCCAGCAACTGAGGTGTTTTAGTAGTGCAGCAGATGGAGGGACCATCTGTGTGAGCTCGTAGGCAGCAGCCACATAGCAGTTCCACACTGCTGCTCATCCTGTGCCTTCAAAGTGTGTGTGTATGTCCATTTATACACAAGTGCGGTTGGTTCAGATTACTTAGTTCATGAGTACATAGTCAAATTGAATAGAAAATATCCCATTTCATTTATTATTGTAGATTTAGACTTTGATCAGATGTTCAAATGGATTTTTTTATTCTCCATTAACCAATACTAAAAAAAATCTAAAGTTTTTCAGTAATACCTGCAATGAAATCAAACCAAAACTTTATTCTTCATTGCAATACCTGCAATGAAATCAAACCAAAACCAAATGCAGAGGTCGTATCTCTATGTTGATTTAAAAAAACAAAGGAAAAAAGCGAAGGGAGTTTATGACCGTGTGTAAACATGTATCCATCCACACGGTGTTACACAAAGTTCAAAGGTCAAATCGTTTGTTTTGTACGTCTCTGTAGCTCCGTCAACAATGGTGTCAGAACGACCGACCTCGGGGCGGTAGAAGGGCTGACCCAAAGCTGACCCAGCTCAGGTTTTTTAGCTCAGATGCCTCATAACGGCTGTGCCATGTCAACACACACAATGGAAAGCCACCGCCTACCAGGGCTGGCTGGGCCATGGAGTGTAATCTATGGCTGTAAAATACAGATACTCAACACTCCTGAAGAAGCCCCCCAAGAGACCAAGAAGGAGGGAAAAAGTTGTCATGTGCAAAAAAGATAAGCTTTCTTCAGGGACATTTAGGTAATGGGTTCAGTCAGAAGAAGATGTAACTGGATTGAAATTCACTTTAACACCAGCATAAACTAGAAGCCCACACTTGAATGTTTTATGAAGACACTTTTCACATCCTAATGTGGAACACTTTGGTCCGTCTTCCATTACAAGGCAGAGAAATGGGGAGAAAAAGAGAAAGGATTTAGTGAGGCATTGCTGATGTGCTCTTTCCCAAAAGCCGGTAGCTTTGAGTGCCTGTTGCGCCGTGTCGCCCTCCCCAGGGACGGGCGCTGAATCAGGAGGACACTGGAATCACATGCTGGGAACGCGGCCGTGCTGTCTGTGCTCCAAAGTCACTGAAACGTCTTTTTATACTAACTCAATTTTTTTTTGTCATTCTCTTATCCTCCAATCCTCTGCCCTCACCCCTTCTACACAACTGCAGACTTTGACTGCAGCGACCCGTTGGGAATGGAATCAGGGGAGATAACATCAGACCAAATCATGGCTTCAACCCAGTACAGCCCCAGCTGGTCCCCGGAGCGCTCCAGACTCAACTACTACGAAAACGCGTGGACCCCTGCAGAAGACTCCAACAAGGAGTGGATACAGGTACGGCCTCAGCTTTACGTTATTGTGTTAATCAGTTAATATTGATAGTGATAACATGTAGGGAGAGGTCGATCACAAGGGGGAGCCACCTGGAGGTGAGTCACAAACATAGGGTGCAGGCCCAGTAGGAGTGTTCCTGTTTGTCCTTCACTCCCCGGAGAACTTGTCTCCTGGCAACCTCCACGAAAAACTCACACTTTCATTGATGAATGTCAGCTGTCGCCGTGCACCTCTGGGTGGTCGAGCGCACGCCTCACAAAAATTGCTTTGTCCACTCTCTCTGTCACTGTCTGGCCGTGTGTAGGTCTCTCTCCTCCCTCTGTCTCCCTGTCATACCTGATAACTCTCTCTCCCCTTGATAACTCGGTCCACTCCCCAGGCACTCCAGGATTTAGTCCAGGCATCCTGCCTAGAAAAGCATGTGCACAGACACATAATAGGCTGTGTCATATTTTTACGACCCAGGCTTATCTTTCTAATGATCATCAGCCACCAGGGAAACTTTTGAAAAACAAAGGATGTAGTGCATCTATTCCAAGACTGGGTTAAAGTCACATGCCACTCCCCAACCCACTCGAGTAACACAACCAGCCGCGGCTGTATGTCGACAAATTTGAAGCATGTTGGTGATTTATTAACACAATGCCTCCAGGCCTTGTAAATGCTCCGACTGTTTTTCTTTTTTCGCTCTTTTTCTACACTTTCTGCTTCATCGCTGAAAAGTTTGGTTCCAGCTTATTCCTCAAGGGATGAATAATACAGCTGACCCGAAGCCAAATATTTGTACGGGTAGGGCCAAAAGCAAGCTTTTCCTTTATTACCGCAATGAAAATATTGTTCTGGAACCCCCCCACTGCTCCTTTAGACTAATTTAATCAGTGTGTGAGCCTCCGTGTGTTTGTGTGTTCGTTCCTGGCTTTGTGCATGAGTAGGAGGCTGAGGCGCGGCCCATATTGTCCTGCAGAGAAACTCAGTGTGTCTTTGAGTGGTCCAAGATTCATGGCTCCCTTTACCATACAGTCGTCCAGTACATTTCGCTCCGTGAACCATTTGTCTTTCTGCGAAGGCAGCGTCTATTCTTCATAGTTTTTCCCCCCCGTTTGCCTTTTTGTCAGTGGCAATTACAAGTGATCACAATGATTTGTTGCCACTCAGGACTCTCCCTGCTGCCGTATTGATCGTATTAAGGATTTGATTTTGTTGTGAAACCTGGGGTTGTGCTCTAGTGGCCATGCTGATTTGCCACTACTAATCAGATCACCAAGCTGACTACAGCTTCCAATTTCCTAATTAGTATTCCATAAGCAGGGAACATGGACTCTCGATGTTTGTTTTCCAACAAGTGTGATGCGTTTTCTCTCGATTTACAGAGTTTACGGTTTTACGTGCTCCAACACCTAATGGCATGTTCTAATCATTTTTTTTATGTATTTCCTGTTCAGGGATCATATCATTCTTATTATTCCTCTGTCAGAAACCAACGTTTCTTTTATTATTCATGACAGGAAAACATTTGGTTCCTATGCATTTTCTATTAGTTTTTCTTTTTTGAGCTTAACATAATCCACATCATTCATTCATTTTAATTCCTCCTCATTCTGATGCATGAAGAAAAGGAGGGCAAGATACTGGGAGTCTGTGCACTCCTCTCTGGGTAATTAGATTGGTGCGGTGCCGCTCAGGATTGAGTCGTGGGTTAGCCAGGTTATTAACTGGACCATTGTTGAACACAGAGATGGACAGATGTCCTTTGAGGCTCTTTGGCAAGAAGTAAAGAAAGAGAATATAAATTTCTGATTTTCTTTTCTCATTTCTTAACCTGTTTTCTCATTCCCTTTTGTAAATGTGCTGGATATCAACACAAAGGTGCAGGCAGATTTGTGCAGAATGCTTGGCAGCATGAACCATAGATTTCATCGAAGCATACGAGGATGAACAGCGGGATCTATGCAGCAGGCAGAAGCAAAAATAAATGAGGCTACAGCCCCAGGCTACCTGGTTTATGGGCTGATCCTTGCTTTATGAACTCAGACTGGCTCCGTAAGGAAAAAAACGTTGAGCTGTTCAACACATTTATTTCGGAGGAGAAGGTTTACATTTTCAGTCCCGGCCTGTCTTGGTCGGAAAACATGCAGTTACGCTGGGACTGCAACTGGTGGAAGTTGTTAAGGAGCTGTCACAGAGCAGAACGACTTTGTCAGAAATGTCGGTGGAAGCCGTCTGATGGCCACGCTGAGCCACCGCGGCATCAGTGATGCAATAAAAGCACAAGTGGATCTCAGTCAGGCGGCCTTGATTGATTGCACATACACCAAACATGAATAATTAAAAGAGTCTCAGGCTGAACACAACTGTCAATACCTGAAAGCCTCTTTATTGAGCATCAGATAATGGCAATATACAGTACAGTACATTATCTCATACGCTAGAGGGTTTTTTTTTTTTCATGCCCATTTTTTTTTATTTAGTTGTAATGGTATCCGCCATTGTTCTGAGTGTTGTAGCCAAGATGAATTATACCAGACAGAGTCATCAGTATTTAACAGGCTCTTGTATAAATGAGTCATGAGAGGCCGTAGTGGGACTCTTAATATATACATGTACAGTTCTTTAATTTTGCTCCAGGTCTGGAAAAAGTGAACCAATATTTTACTCGAGTTAAAAACACTTTCCTCAACACTGCTTGACCAACCAAATAACCTCATTTCCTAGATGAACTTTGGTTTCTGGCATTCTATCATTCCGTCCTTTTTCAACCATTGTATTCTCCCAAATCATGTCCTCCATTACCGCAGGTCAAAGAGTGTTTAAAAATGCCCCCATCAATGCCACTGTGTCTCCACTTTTGTCCTTGGTGCGAGGCTTCCTGTAGCGTGAGGTGATAAGTAATTAGACGGTAGACGGGTAATTAACATCAGCTTTTCACTTGATTAAGGGCTGCAGTACTAAAGAGTGGAGCCTGAGCCTGAGCCTGGCCAGTAGGTGCCGGTGAAATCATCATACCGCATTATGGAAACAATTGATGCTGTCTGTGCCTCGTCGCTTCTAGACCTCCTCTGCTGGAAAATCAATGAGAGGACAGAGACCCGCAGTTGTGGAGCGGAGCAGCCCAAACGTGGGGCTAGAAATCGAAACACAAGAAATGGCATGATGTAATGAAATGAAACAGCTCTGCTGTAATCAGTGTCATTTTCACTGTCTGTGATCAGGACAATGCAAAAGCCCGACAGCCCGGCTGGGAGCGATCCTCACTGACTGGTCATCCTCAGCTGTATTTCCTGTAACAGGATCTAATCACAGCTGCCAGACATGACAGACCATCAGAGTGCCCTCTATTCAGTCCTGATCGCTGCTCCTTAGTTTTTGAAACATTAATCAGATTCTTAGTCATATGAATGTGTGCGGGGTTTGGGAAGGAAGGAAATGATCTTGGTGTTAGTCTGAAAAAAATGATCAATGTGAAGGGAAACTGTTTAAACCTCCTCTTATATACAAAATCCATGATTCAGGCAACAGTACACAAATCACAGATGAGAATGAGAATTTTTTTATTATGTTATGTTATGTTTACTTTGTTTTAAATTTTTTATATTTTCTATTTTATTTATTTTTTCTGTCCTTTTATCTGCCTCAGACAAAAACAGACTCTCAGTGCAGAGGCAGACATGCATAATTTAGGGCCACCAAATAGGTGTGGTTGGTCTAAAAATAAACGTCTGTCAGGTGAGCATTGTGATAAATGGAAGGTCATAAGTGGAGCTCACAGGTCCTGCAGCATCAGACTAATACAATTTTCATGAAAAGAGATTTAATTACGCCGTTAAATAATGGAGATCCTCTCCGGTGAAATCATCAAGGCATTCGCCGTCTAATTTGTGTAGTGATTTCTGGGTTGCAGGGCTACGGGGTGGCGAGGCGGTTAACACTGTTGCCTCATAGGAATAGGGTTTTTGGTTTGAAGCCTAGGAGGAGCACTCTTTCACCCTCACCGTTTCCTCTGGTTGTTTTTGAAGAAGGGGAACTCAAACACACACAGACACAAAGAAAACATTCAACATGGAAAAAATGTGGGCTTTTTGTCTCTACAGAAGACTGCGTGTTTTACGAATTTAGTCAACTCAATTACAAGACAACGAAGCAGCAACAGATAATGTTGAGTAGCTGTTTCCCCCACCCCCGTTGCACCACCAAACCACATCTCCATGCTGCGCCCACACAACAGTGACGAGGCTTAACTCTGAGGTGCAGATCATGTGGCCTCGCTCCGCAGCTGAGTCATAAGGCTTAGACAAAAAACAAAAAAGAAAACACAGACCTGAACTTTACAGTAGACATCGTAATCATGCCCACAAATGCCACTGGTGATGAGGAATCGTGGGGAAAATATAGCTCTGTTTGGGCGTGCGAAGGTTTTCACACACTGCGCTGATTAAACCGCTTCTTCACCTGACGGAACAAGCCCAAACACAGCTAATTCTTTTTCTGCCTTTCTGGTTTCATTATCCTGCCACTGAACAGAGCACCGGCTGATGTGAGGCAAATGACTTAAAGTCATCAGTTTTCCTCACGCCGGCAGCTGAGCGCTTTAACACGGAGTCAGACATATTTTGGACTGTGCTGGAGTGGGAAATAAACCGCAGCGAGCGTCTGCCCACATATCAGTGTGCCATTGCTGCATGGAAAGATTCAGACGACTTTGGATGATTTCTTACCGCGCCTGACATATTTATGGCTCCGAGTGTGTGTGAGTGTGTGCGATTGTTTGATGGTGGTCCTCCAGATATGAGGCTCTGTGCACCAGCATGCCCAGAACATACGGTGTTTATTCCTCTATATGACTCGCTCAAAGGGGGAGTAACGACACAGTGATGGTGGAACAACTACGGGCATGATTTTGCTGGTTCAGCAAAAGTCTGAAAATGCAACGTGGATTTGAGGTTAGCAGCCAAAAATTACCACCTCTGAGTGCAGTGATTACATCAGCCATTAGGCATGATCCAGCCTTCCAGGGATCGACAGTTCATCATCTGAGAGAGATGTATTTACTCAAGACCAACTGTGGACCGTGTGGAATTTCTAATTGTTGGTTATTGCTTTATATATAAAGCTCATTTTGTGTTGTTCATGGCTCTGGGATAAAGTCCCACCAGTAATCATTATCTGGGCCTGTTTGTTTTCACTGCGGTCTCTGTGGTGTGGGATTGGACTGCGCTCCACGTCCAAGTGTCCTGGCAGCACGTCTCCCCTCCCTGCCCGGTGTCCCCCCCCCCCAGTCAGTTAACGCAGCCTCGGCCCGTCCCTCTGCCTCTAACGAGCAGGCATTAATAAATCATACTTCGCGTTCATTGCCCGTCCCCTGTTAGCAGCCCGCGTCTTGGAGTTCTGTTCTTCACGTCTTTGAAGACATCACTGTCAGCAGTGTTTCTCAACGCTAAACATTTCTGCATGCTGCAAAGTTTAACTTTAACCTACCCATTCATACATGCAATACTGGGGGGGGGGGTGTCACAACCTGCGGTTTTGCGTCGTCTCAGAACTGGTTCGACGTTCCCTTTTTTAATTCTCATTCAGATTTGTTAAAATAGAAATACATCAAATAGATCAAAACCTGTTGCAGTTTCCATCATTTTAACAGGTTTTCAATCAAGTTTGGATATAAAAGAAAAAACATTAAAAAAGGATGTGTCCTTTGTGTTTTCTTTAATTAAACTGGACGTGTTTTTTAAAAAAGTTTAACTTTAACCTACCCATTCATACATGCAATATATTGATACTCTAAAACAAATTATTGGGATATTGATGGAAATTCATCCCGGTGTTCCCAGTTAGCTGTGCCATCACTGGATTCCCGAAAGAACCGACTCTCCTTTAAACTTAATGGGCTTGATTCTCAGAAAGAATGGTAACAGAGCGAAGCATTTCTATTGGATGAACGGCTGTGCCATTGAATGAAAATTGGTCGAGGCAGCTTTTTGGACGCACGTGTTCAACACTTGTCTGAGAGAATATAAGTCAGCAGCAGTTTGTTTTTTTTCACTGTATTTTCCCCCCGACCAGCCCTGGCACTTGTCTCGTAGATATTTACCCAACAGAGAGAGATTCCACCCCTGTGTTATTAAATGGGAACTGTCTGAAACAGACAGGATTTGATTTTGTCTCTATTTGTGCAAACCCCCCAAAAAATCAGGGACTTACTGTATAAGCCCACTGAGCCTGTAGACGGGAACAAAAGTATTCTATCTTTATATAAGACTCTGTCTTCTGTGTGAGACTCCATCCATCCGTATCACTTAAGGAACCATTGAGTCAGTAGACGGTTCGGGAACCTCATTTTGCGCTCCCATCTGTTTATGGCCTTTTTACTTCTGTAAGTGAATTTCAGGAGCCCTTCTTGTTCATGCAGATGTGTCTTTCCGAGCCCGAGTCATTTACTGTGGTGAAGAACTATTCATGGCACTGGCAGGCTAAGCTAACTGTCTTTGACTTAATGGATTTAACAGGCTGAAGCTAAAAAAAGACTTTAAAAGCACATTGACCCGGCTTGTTCTTTTATAGATATATATACATACATATATAAATATGTACGTTACTGATCTCGCCGTCTTTACACACCCCTGCGCATTGCACATACCGGTCATCTCCCTCGAGTCAATATAGTAATCCACTCAAAATTCCGCTCGTTGTCCAGCAGGGCCCGCGTGAGTCCATCTCACGCCATCATCAAAGGCTGCGTCTCTCATCACAATCTCAGACACCACCACCAACCACCGAGGCTCCGGCTTCGTGCATCACTCTCGTGTTTTAGCGGTGCCCGCATGCGAGCCCATTACTCCTCATTAGTGTCAGCTCGGCCTGTCAGAGGCGGCGTTAACGCTTGTTAAAATTAAGCACACCCCGTCATACGCCGAGGAGCGAGTCGTATTTTGGCAGCTTTTCAATTTTACATCACACCCACTTTTTCTCGATAGTGGATGAAGGCAATAGCATCGGGGGGGCGGGGGGGTCGGTAGTTTCAGCCAAGGTCAAAGGGCAGATCCACTTTGTTATTGCTACCGGCTAGTTTATCCCAGACTTCTCATTCATTCTGGTGCATCGATATAAACAGGATCAGAATTCACTTTGAAGGCTTTCTTTACCGACGAGGCAAACTCCAAGGTGACACGCAGGGTGAGTGTGTTGAGGTGGTCTGATATGAACCAATCAGCAGCATTAGCAACGAGGGCAACACACACGCATACGCTTTACCCCGGTGTGTATCGTACTGAGTCTGTATAGCTCTTACGTGCCGCTGACCCTCCTGCCTCTGGCTGCCTTCATGTGGAAAAGCCCTGCATTAATGCACTGCATTTCATGATTACTTTATGAAGCCCTGCATGTTTGAAAAGCTCAGTATTTTATATTCAGTGTGTACCCGGCGCTCCTTCTGGACGCTTTTGATAATGCAATTACAGGACCTGTTTCATTCAACATTCAATTTTGTCCAATAAGCTCTTGTCTCCCATCTGAGGAAATGAGATTGTCATCCTGTGTCTATTTCATTAATGTGAATATAATTTCATGGCACACTAATAAATTCCAGGTAGGAGCTGATGAGACCATGGCCAGGGGTGCCTCTAATAGAAGAGTTATATATCTGTACTGTGTCCCTATCCTCCCATGTGCTACTAAGAGTATCACTATACCAACTCTATAAAATGTCTGTTCTGCTCGGTCAGAGTCTTTAAATTTCCAGAGACCTGTGCTCACCTGTGTCTTTTTCTCTTTGCCCTCGTCTCCTCAGGTGGATCTCGGGTTCTTGCGATTTGTGTCCGCTATTGGGACTCAGGGAGGCATTTCCCAGGAGACACACAGGGTCTACTTCGTCAAGTCCTACAAGGTGGACGTCAGCTCCAACGGGGAGGACTGGATCACTCTGAAGGAGGGCTCCAAACAAAAGGTGAGAATGAAGCGAGTGAACCTGTGTTGATAATCAAGTATTAAGGACTGGATTATTAGTAAAAAAAATCCAGTTATGCACTGACTGTATTAAGGAAGTAAGGAGGGGCCGAGGTACCACCAGTGGTTTGCACACCATATTTTCAGAACAATGTGATTAAATACTTTAGCTGTTGATTCAGTTATCTAACCGGTGAATGCTGTTTTAAATCAGTCTTCATATAAAATACATTTCAGCTGTGGCTGTGCTTCAAGCTGCTGTTAAAAACAGGAGATGCCCAACGTATATATATGTACTTGTCTGTGTGGTAACATGCATTTGCATTTGCTCATCTGGGTAATATACACACCTCTCTGTGAGAGTAGGTAGTATTTACAGCACAGACTGTGTTATTAACACACACCGTGCTGCACTCGGTGCCTGGAGGACTGTGTTAAGAATGCAGCCCCCTGTTTGTAGTCAGGCTGCCATAAAAGTGTAAAAAAAAAGTAATTCAGGGTTGACAAAAAGACTCACACAAGGGTCAAAGGTGATGGAGATAGTAAAAAAAAACAGGAGAAACTGCCATGTTTGAGCAGCTGGTCGGTGGTAGTTCAAGGAGGGGAGAGATGAGGAAGGGATAGGAGGACGCCGCGCTTGACCGGAGCCTGACAGGCTCGAACCATCGATTGCTGATCAGCCTGTCAAACACACCACGTTTCGTCCATCTGGAGTAAACACACTCTCCACTGTGGGTGTTCTCATGGTCTCAGGTTGTGTGGCATTTTAAATACAACACGGCAGTTCTTTACTGAAAGGTTGAGGAACTGCAGTCTCCCAAGGACGTGTGTACACAGCTCTGGGCTTTGTTTTTCTCTTCTTTTTTTTTTTTTACAGTCTCTCCACGGTGCTCAGTTCCCACTCAAGTCAGGTAGTGGCTTTTAGGTGCCAAGCTAAGACCAGTGTGTGTTTCTTCGGCAAAGTGCTCTTGTGCAGAGGGGCGCCATTTACTGCCTGCTGACCCGGCAGTTTTGCATCTCACAGTGCAGCCCTGGAAAAAGCCACTTTACAGTCAGCGAGTGGAGACAAAAGTTTGTGTGACGCGCTTTAGAAGGACGCTGTTTGTGAGGAAATTGACAAGTTCAGTTCCATCTTGTGCAACTTCTTTTTTTTCCCTTTTGCGTCCTGTGGGCTTTAGAATACCAACACTAAAGAAAAGAAAACTCCTTAAAAAAATCTTTTAGCAGCAAATTAATCTTCACAGGCAGTCACTGGAGAGCAATTCTCTAACCGGGGCAGACAGAAGTGCTACAGATGTAATGTGATTAAGTTGTGGAGATTTAAGTGTCCACTCTCTTTGTTGGTGTTTTAGTAGATTCCCAATCAGCTGATCCTCCGTCTTTATGCCCTCGCGTCCGTCCTGCTGCTCTTAGCTTTTCTGTCCCTGTAGCTATTCGATGAAGTAAGTGCAGGAGGTCAGATGGTCGCCGGTGCCATTCAATTACGCAGAATGGACAGTGATGTACTGCGGGGAGTAGCTCAGCCGGGTGGTCAGCCTCTCCGTGCGGTGCTAGTAAACTGTCAACTGAACCCAAGGGAGAACGGTGACATCTGTGACCTTTAAACAAGACACTGCAATAAACCGCCAGGCGGATCCAAACCGCGGGGCTGGGAGCGGGCATCTTGGGGCAATCTGCTTTAGTCAGTGTTGCATTTTTAACGGCTCCAGGTTTCACCGTCACACACTCACATGTTTGTGCTGCTCAAGAGGAAGTGCCGGAAATGTCAGGGGTGATGGAGAAACTATTCATCGCGGAGGGAAACTGACTCCCCTCTGTGTGTGTGTGTTTAGTCACACAGTAGAGCACCAGCTGAGTCAGGAAAAGTCCGTTTGTATCATATCTTCCTCGTGGCTGATGGACAGAATGAAAAAACATCATAATAATAATAATAATATATGACTTTCCTCCCGTTCTCCAAATCTCATCAATGTTTTATTCCTCACACTCTGCCAAGGACTCGCACACATTTCCCATCCTGCATTTCAAGTCAGCATGTTCAGTCAATAATTAGCTTTTTCCATTTTGGCCTTCATCGCAGGTTTTTCAAGGCAACACCAACCCAACGGACGTTGCCAAGACGATGCTGCCCAAACCCACGCTGACACGATTTATTCGGATCCGGCCCGTTACCTGGGAAACAGGAATCGCGCTGCGCTTCGAGGTGTACGGTTGTAAAATATCAGGTTGGTATTGATCTACACGCACATATATATAGATATATATATATGCATATATATATACTTTTTTAATGAAATAATCCGATGGTGCCACTAGCTGTGTTTGTTGTCTCATCAGATTATAGTCTGTATGTCTCACCCACCCCCCGTCTCCCCCGACCCCTCCCTCAGTTGCCCAACCACCTGACTTGTGTAATGGGGGGAACAAGAAGCTCTATTTCTGTGGTGCCCCTGTCTCTGCGGCTGCATCTGTAAATCAGAGCAGCGTTACATAAAGAAGGGATTATCTATTTATGACACCCCGTGTTTAGATGTACCTCATTCAATATAAATGTAGCTGACAGCTGGTAGGCAGAGAGAGTGCTCCAGACGAGTGGGCTCTCTCCCTGCTCTGGTCCCTGCTGCACATCTCGTCTCAGCATTATCTAGTCTTTCTACATGAGTGGTGTGTGTGTGTGTATGTGTGTATTTATGTGGGTGCGTGTGTGGATCAGTTTCATATACTTCACAACATCTGTCTGCGCCTCTTTGGGTTGATAGGCAAATGTATAGCATGATAAAAAGCATGCTTTGTTGGACTCCCCCACAATCCCCTTCTTCCCCCATTCCACCAAGCTATTTCTTCAACCGACCAGTCACACCCTCCCCAGTCCCCCAATCCCCAGGGTGCCTTGCTCCTCCACTTTGGGAACCTCTGGATGAATGTTTTTGGTTCAGGATTAGGTGTGGATTTGCTTGTGCGCCGTGCCTGTAATTATGCGCACACTGTTTGTGTGTTTGTTTGTGTAGTAGCATGGGGCAGCGCGGGCACAGCAGGGTTACAGCTGGGCTGCGTGTCTCGGGCACAGGACCAGACCGCTGCACGGATCATAAACACATCACAGGGTTGGAGCCACCGCAGTGCCTCTGTGATGACATCAGCATCCCAGGTCTCTCTGAAGGCACTGCCAGTGTCACTGCGTGGTGGCAGCACATGGTGCAGTGATAAACTAAAAGACTCATAAACCTATTGACTCGGTACATTCTCCTTATTATGAGTCCTCAGTACTGGAAACACAGGATATAATTAGGGGAAGAAAAAACAGTTTTTCTTCTTTTTTTAATATTTGCCTCGCTTCCCTCAGAAGTCAATCACAAACAGGTGTGTAGGCCTCAGCACGGAAATCAAGTCAAAGGGGAAATCTCTGGACACATGTTGATTGCCATGCAATCATCAGAAGAAGGGAGAGGTTTTGAAATCGCAGACGGTTGCAAGATGTTTATTTCCCGACTCATCCTTCACCTTGTCCCCGCCGATGCAAACACGGCCACATTAATGTGAAGATCCACGGCCGTGTTGTTTGTAAACATGCCAGGGTGTATATAAATACCCGCGATCAACCGCCGTTGCCTCCACCCAAACCCTAAATGTGGCCGGTAGCCCCGGATCAACATCTCCGCGCTCGCTGTCCACAAAAACACACATGTGCTTGTTCCTCTGGGTGTGTCGTCGCTTGCGTGCAGCTGAAGTTGGTTAACAGCTCAGGGAGGATCGAAACTCAGATCAGATCAGTCACACTGCACATGCTCGGTCCCACGTGCACTTTTTTTTTTTTCCAACATCTTTCATCTTCAGAGATGACCAGAAAGGAGTGCCTCAGTGATGGCTCTGTTCCTATGATCATCTTCACACAGGACTTGGCAGAAGAAAAACAAAAATGAAAGACAAGGAAAAACCCTGACAACAGTCGCGGAGTCGACAGTATTGTTCCTCGAGCTGCACTTTTATAGAACGCAGGATGGAAGGTTCCCATGGGTCAGTATAGGAGCTGCTTCAGATAACCGGGGAGAGAAAGTCTGAATGAACGCCTTGTTCCTTAAATCTTTTCCCAGATGCAGTTAAGCTATTGAGTCCCGCAGCAGTACAGTGCACACTTTGTCTCCTACAGACACAGAGGATGTAATAATGCCCAGATTTATTCCACTGTGGGAGCCAGATAGTAAATATGTTATTGCTTACCTCAGGTCCCTGACTCACCGTCCAGGGATAGAGCATTGGAGAACAGTTGGTGTTAGAGCAAAGTAGAGAAATACAAAAACAAAAACAAAAAAACAAGCTTCATTAAATCTGTCAACTTTTGAAATACTAGTATTTGGATTTTCTAAACAGCCAACCGATGAATGTGTGCTTCGCTCTTCATTTCATTTTACACCTGGAGGCCTTGTGAATTGCTCTAAAAAGTGACATTAATACGAAATGAAAACAAAAATGAACCTCTTATTATTATGTGAAAATATTACATGAAAATATTCCCCCTGCCTCCCGTTAAAATCAGGTTTGAAAGTTGCTGTTTTGACTGATTGTTTAAGAAAGAATCATGTCCTGAATTAAATACAAAATGTGTATTTTAACAAAAGAAAATGGACAAACGTCGTAGAAATGTGTGCATTTCTAACGCACCACAGCAGCAATGTAGGATCTGAAGCAACAAGTTTTTAACCTGTTCACTATTTCTTTTACAAAACATTTTTAACCTATAAAGCGTTCTGGTGCACATGTGATCAGAGAAGTTGAAGTGAAACAAGTGGAACCAAGAAAATGTGGTCAGGAAAAGAAAAGAAAAACTGCAGAGAAGAAAGTCTCACAGATGTTGACAGCTGTGGAGCAGAAGGTAGACAACTGCAGCTGCCAACATACAAAGAGAATCTGCTTTGTGCGCTGAGCGTACTGTATCTGGGTCCACAGAGGGGTGGGCTGAGTGGAGGGGGGTAGGCAGAGGGGTATGGGGTTCAGGCAGATGAAAAGGAAAAAGCGATCCCAGAATGCAGGAGGTGGAAGCGACCGACAGAGAGGAGGGTTTTAATTGGCCGCCTGGAGACAACCGCTTCAGGCGGAGGAATTAGCATGCACGCAGACGTGGAGCGAGGGAGAAAAGAGAACAGGAAGTGATCACAGCAACAGCACAAAGAGTGGGAGATCGTCCTCGTGACTTTTTACCGTGCATGTTACTCTGGGTGACCCTCCAATACAACAAACTAAACTTGTGATATGGTAAAGAATGTTAAACATGAGCTCCGTCAGGAGATGGCTGTTGAATATTCAGCTGGTATTTCTGCAGGCTGTGAAAAAAAAAACTCAACGACCTTTTGCTTTTGTCTTTCAGAGTACCCGTGCTCTGGCATGCTGGGTATGGTATCAGGCCTCATCACCGACAACCAGATCACAGCGTCCTCACACACAGACCGCTACTGGGTGCCGGAGAACGCCCGTCTGCTCACGAGCAGGGCGGGGTGGACACTGCTGCCCCAGCCCCAGCCCTTCACCAGCGAATGGCTGCAGGTGGATCTCGGCGAAGAGAAGCTGGTCAAGGGCTTGATCATACAGGGGGGAAAGTACCGTGAGAACAAAGTCTTCATGAAGAAGTTCCGCGTTGGCTACAGCAACAACGGCTCCGACTGGAGGATGGTTTTGGACCCCGGTGGGAACAAGCCAAAGGTGACTTTTTTTAGAAGCATGTTTAAATATTAAATTAGATTTTACAGCTGAAGCTGAGGCCTAACCAGATCATCGTTTTCAGGGGAATCGGTTTAGCCTGACGGACGGTTTGATTGGATATGACTGTCTGCCATTACACACGGGGCAAATGTTTTGAATACATAGTTGCGAGGAAGGCTCCGGTGTATTTCGACTCACATTTTGATGCATGTAGTCAATTCTCAGCAGAGCGCCGCATGGCAGTTGTGACTCATTCCGCTCTCGTTCTGAGTCAATTTCAGGAGTACTTTGAATCACATTAGGATAAGCATCTCATGTCTCTTCACTCCTCTCCGCCTGCTTTGTATTCCGTGCAACGCATACCATTCAACCCTTTCAGCAGATAGTGAGACCTCTCCGAGGGGAGTGGGAGGTGGGGGTGTACGGCGGGGGAGGGGGCGCAAGTCCAGAACGAGCGGGGAAATAATGCACAACACAGAGAAGTGACCCACGATTTATCTGCCAGTGTCACTGCGTTCTACGCAGACGCGTGCCAGCGCTTTGATTAGCACAAGCATGTGCATGTCTTCAGCGGCGCGGTATATACGAGGAAAATGTTTTTTTCCCCCCAAGAGGAGCTACGGCAGACCGTCCCCAATTACAAGTGTCCTTGACAGGGCATAAATCTGATTCAGATGGGCTGATTGTTGATTTATGAACGGAGTGGAGAGGATCCATACGTCCCCCCTCTCCTCCTCACCCCTCCATCCCCTTGTCCTAGTTAGCTTCCTCGCACCCCTCCCCTCCAACAAAAAAGGCGGCATCCAAGGTGCATGGGCTGCTTTGATGTGATCACACCCATTAATCCACTTCCATCAATCCTTTATCTCCCAC